TAAAAAGAGGGGAAATCTTAAGAGCAAGAAAGTTCAATTTTAAGTCAAGAAAGTGTTCGTTGAATTTTAAGTCAAGAAAGTGTTCGTTGAATTTTAAGTCCAGAAAGTGTTCGTTGAATTTTAAGTCAAGAAAGTGTTCGTTGAATTTTAAGTCCAGAAAGTGTTCGTTGAATTTTAAGTCAAGAAAGTGTTTGTTGAATTTTAAGTCAAGAAAGTGTTCGTTGAATTTTAAGTCAAGGAAGTGTTCGTTGAATTTTAAGTCAAGGAAGTGTTCGTTGAATTTTAAGTCCAGAAAGTGTTCGTTGAATTTTAAGTCAAGAAAGTGTTCATTGAATTTTAAGTCAAGAAAGTGTTCATTGAATTTTAAGTCCAGAAAATGTTCGTTCAATTTTAAGTCAAGAAAGTGTTCGTTGAATTTTAAGTCAAGAAAGTGTTCATTGAATTTTAAGTCCAGAAAATGTTCGTTCAATTTTAAGTCAAGAAAGTGTTCGTTGAATTTTAAGTCCAGAAAGTGTTCGTTGAATTTTAAGTCAAGAAAGTGTTCGTTGAATTTTAAGTCCGGAAAGTGTTCGTTGAATTTTAAGTCAAGAAAGTGTTTGTTGAATTTTAAGTCAAGAAAGTGTTCGTTGAATTTTAAGTCAAGGAAGTGTTCGTTGAATTTTAAGTCAAGGAAGTGTTCGTTGAATTTTAAGTCCAGAAAGTGTTCGTTGAATTTTAAGTCAAGAAAGTGTTCATTGAATTTTAAGTCAAGAAAGTGTTCATTGAATTTTAAGTCCAGAAAATGTTCGTTCAATTTTAAGTCAAGAAAGTGTTCGTTGAATTTTAAGTCAAGAAAGTGTTCATTGAATTTTAAGTCCAGAAAATGTTCGTTCAATTTTAAGTCAAGAAAGTGTTCGTTGAATTTTAAGTCAAGAAAGTGTTCGTTGAATTTTAAGTCCAGAAAGTGTTCATTGAATTTTAAGTCCAGAAAATGTTCGTTCAATTTTAAGTCCAGAAAGTGTTCGTTGAATTTTAAGTCCAGAAAGTGTTCGTTGAATTTTAAGTCCAGAAAGTGTTCGTTGAATTTTAAGTCCAGAAAGTGTTCGTTGAATTTTAAGTCAAGAAAGTGTTCGTTGAATTTTAAGTCAAGAAAGTGTTCGTTGAATTTTAAGTCAAGAAAGTGTTCGTTGAATTTTAAGTCAAGAAAGTGTTCGTTGAATTTTAAGTCAAGAAAGTGTTCGTTGAATTTTAAGTCCAGAAAGTGTTCATTGAATTTTAAGTCCAGAAAATGTTCGTTCAATTTTAAGTCCAGAAAGTGTTCGTTGAATTTTAAGTCAAGAAAGTGTTCATTGAATTTTAAGTCCAGAAAATGTTCGTTCAATTTTAAGTCAAGAAAGTGTTTGTTGAATTTTAAGTCAAGAAAGTGTTCATTGAATTTTAAGTCCAGAAAATGTTCGTTCAATTTTAAGTCAAGAAAGTGTTCGTTGAATTTTAAGTCAAGAAAGTGTTTGTTGAATTTTAAGTCCAGAAAGTGTTCATTGAATTTTAAGTCCAGAAAATGTTCGTTCAATTTTAAGTCCAGAAAGTGTTCGTTGAATTTTAAGTCAAGAAAGTGTTCATTGAATTTTAAGTCCAGAAAATGTTCGTTCAATTTTAAGTCAAGAAAGTGTTCGTTGAATTTTAAGTCAAGAAAGTGTTCATTGAATTTTAAGTCCAGAAAATGTTCGTTCAATTTTAAGTCAAGAAAGTGTTCGTTGAATTTTAAGTCAAGAAAGTGTTCATTGAATTTTAAGTCCAGAAAGTGTTCGTTGAATTTTAAGTCAAGAAAGTGTTCATTGAATTTTAAGTCCAGAAAGTGTTCGTTGAATTTTAAGTCAAGAAAGTGTTAGTTGAATTTTAAGTCAAGAAAGTGTTCTTTGAATTTTAAGTCAAGAAAGTGTTCATTGAATTTTAAGTCCAGAAAGTGTTCGTTGAATTTTAAGTCAAGAAAGTGTTAGTTGAATTTTAAGTCAAGAAAGTGTTCGTTGAATTTTAAGTCAAGAAAGTGTTCATTGAATTTTAAGTCCAGAAAATGTTCGTTCAATTTTAAGTCAAGAAAGTGTTCGTTGAATTTTAAGTCAAGAAAGTGTTCATTGAATTTTAAGTCCAGAAAATGTTCGTTCAATTTTAAGTCAAGAAAGTGTTCGTTGAATTTTAAGTCAAGAAAGTGTTCGTTGAATTTTAAGTCAAGAAAGTGTTCATTGAATTTTAAGTCCAGAAAGTGTTCGTTGAATTTTAAGTCAAGAAAGTGTTCATTGAATTTTAAGTCCAGAAAGTGTTCGTTGAATTTTAAGTCAAGAAAGTGTTAGTTGAATTTTAAGTCAAGAAAGTGTTCTTTGAATTTTAAGTCAAGAAAGTGTTCGTTGAATTTTAAGTCAAGAAAGTGTTAGTTGAATTTTAAGTCAAGAAAGTGTTCTTTGAATTTTAAGTCAAGAAAGTGTTCGTTGAATTTTAAGTCAAGAAAGTGTTCGTTGAATTTTAAGTCAAGAAAGTATTACTTGAATTTTAAGTCAAGAAAGTGTTCGTTGAATTTTAAGTCAAGAAAGTGTTCGTTGAATTTTAAGTCAAGAAAGTGTTCGTTGAATTTTAAGTCAAAAAAGTGTTCGTTGAATTTTAAGTCAAGAAAGTGTTCGTTGAATTTTAAGTCAAGAAAGTGTTAGTTGAATAAAGTCAGCTGAAGAAAAAGATTCTTCCATTTGAAAAGGATTTTAAGTTTTTGTGACTTATTAGTTATTAATGCTTTCATTTTTGCATTTTCTCAAAAAAACAATTTTTTTCAATAAATTCACCTTGAAAATAGGCTCAAATTTGCATAAAAATGTTGAATCAGCATATTTAAAAAATATATAATCAACATTTTTTTGGATTGTTTAATTGTGTTCAGTATATTTCCACTATTAAGAAAAATCTGTTTCAAAAACTCAACAAAAATGTAGTTTTTTTTCTTTCTATAGGAACCATTAAAATAATAAGCCTTCAAGATTTTAAGGTAAGAGAGGAAAAACCCAAAAAACTTAAAACTAGTAATAAATGTCTATGAAAGCCTTCACAAAAAAAGATTTTTACCAAATCATCGAATTTTTATTTCCAAATCCGTAATATTATATATTTTTTTTGTATTTCAACGATAGGTGTTTAGCTGTATATATTGCTGTGAAAATGGAGGAATATTATCAAACATTACAGGGCGCAGCTGCAATGCGATATGTTGCAAAAATACAGCTTGTTAGTGGGGTAGACCCGTATAAGTTAAAATTTAATGATATGGACACAAATCCTAAATCACTTCCTTCCGTGGATTATCCAGACATTGTAAATTATTGCGTCTACACAAAAAGTGCCTATACAATGGATATATTAAAATCTTACAAATCTCTGGATGCATACCACCAATTCGTCAGCGGTTGGGTTTCTGATTTGGGAAGCTATGTTGTGAATAACCGCATCATTGTTAAAAGCAAGGTATGAATTAGCAATAACAATTTAAGTATGCACATATGTTTAACAGATATTGTATGCGTACAATTAATTTATTTATGGAAGAGCCTAAATATTTGTATTATTGGAGCAATATCTAAATAAATGTATCATTGAAGGAATATCAATATCACTGAGATATTTATTTTGTCCCTTATTATATTTTTTATAAATAGAACTAAAATAAAAGAGTCTAAAAAGATTACTTCCTGCTATATATTACATTTAAATTTTATATATATATATATATATATATATATATATATATATATATATATATATATATATATATATATATATATATATATATATATACATATATGCATATCTTTGTTCAGGTAAGACACTCTCAGAGTATCAGCAAGGCACCACTACAACCTTGGATTATTGCAGAAAAGAGTGGAAATATTTTAACTGCACACTGCAACTGTATGGCAGGCTTGGCTGAAACATGTACTCATGTCAGTGCCACGCTCTTTGCAATTGATGCTTCTGTGCGCCTAGAAAAGAGCCAAACTGTTACCGAAGAAGCGGCATATTGGATGTTACCATCAAATGTAAAGGAAGTAAAATATATTAGGCTAAAAGACATTAATTGAACATCGGCAACAAACATGAAAAGAATTCTTGATAGTAAATTATCTCAGACACCTGTTAGACGATATCAATTGCTGCCTCTTCCGTTTGTAGAACCACCCAACGCTACGGAAATGAACAATTTTTTTCAAATTCTGCATGACACTGGTGTTAAACCAAGTATTCTGTCAATAGTACCTGTCTTTGTTGAATCTTACGTTCCTAGGTTTTCATCTTACTTGTACCCCTGGGTGTTTTTTTTTTTTTTTTTTTTACTTTATATATATATATATATATATATATATATATATATATATATATATATATATATATATACATATATATAGGGTGTTAATAATATATATATATATATAAAGTAAAAAAAAAATAAAAAAAAAAACAACCCATAAAAATATCTAAAGGCAACAACAACAACAAAGAAAAGAAGAAATTTAAGAAAAAAAATTAAAAGTAATTTTAAAGAAAAAAACTAAAACTAAGAAAAACAATTTTTCACATTAATATAAGATAATTATAAGTTATATACTCAAATATTATATAATTTACGAAAATATTTAATTGATTTTACATAATTTCCGTATTAATGAAAACGTACAATTGATTTGCAGCAATTGGTAAGTGCACAACTTACTGTAACAATTTTGTCCACAGTTGGTATATTGTCGGCCTCACACATCAAAAAGTCAACTGGTAAGATTTCCTTTAATATAGTGTATTTGTTTCTGGCAAGTCCAATCACTCTGTCTACGTTGACCCTCAATTGGGCAATTTTTCTAGTACTTTCCACATCAACAGCTGATAGCTGCTTCTTTTCTTTTGTAAATGCTGGAATTTTAACCTCAGCACACATAAGACCAACAGAGTCGGCTATATTAAAGCCTCGGTCAGCAAGCACTACATCCGCAGGGTTGAGCTTCTCAAGGAGTCCACATTGTTCGGTGATAAGCTTGTCGCTAGTTCTCCCACCCCATCCTTGGGAAATGAAAGAAATAACGCCTTGTGGAACAATGTTAATCAAATATTTTACGGTGTTATGACTTTTATAGTTGCTCCATGTCTGCACTCTAGCCATAAGATTCGAGGGTCTTTCAATAAAAATTTCAAAACAGTCTATGATGACAGCTATCTTAAGCCCAAAGTGTTGTCTGTACGATAATGGCATAGATTGTTGTAATTCTTTTCTTTCTGGCCAGTAAATCAGAGGTTTCATACGAACATATAGTATGTGCAAAATATTCTTGAAAGTTTTTGAAGCAACGGAATAGGAAATGTCAAATCGAAATGCTAAGTCTTGTATTGGGGTTCCAAGACGAAGCTTCATTAGCGTAAGAATCAATTTTTCGAACTTAGATAGTCGCGAATGCGCTGTTAACGAAATATATGCTTCGACATGCTGGAAAGCAGCTAATAGCACTTTACGACAGTGCAAGCCTGTGTAATAAAGGACTTTATCATCATTGGTAAATGACTCAACTGTTACTTCAAACGAGAGGAGCTTCTCCTTTAACTTAATGTTCTCACTTAGAACTCGTCTATAATCTTGCATCAGGAATTCAATTTCATTATTTTGCGCTGAGAGACTATCATCAATCGTCAGGAATTCGACTTCATTACTTTGCTTTTTATCAACAGGACCTTTCAACAAAAAAGTGCATATTTTACGTTTTGCAATAAAATCGCTGATTGAAACTTCGCTAACTGTTTCACTAGCAGCTCCTTCTGCAAAATGTAGCAAATCCTCTGCGGCAGTATACATGGTCTTTTTTTCAGCTCTAATTTGCGCACGAGAATATCTGAAAGTAACATAAATCTGTAAGTCAATGTTGAAGTTCAACAATCGGCAACAAAGTTGTCATAAGAGACTGAGGACTAAAATTTTGCTTAAAGCGTCACTTTATTTACTTTAAAATTCCATTAAATATTTACTTATTCAAGATGCACTTTTGAAAAATGACAGTGTAATCTTTTATAACAGCGTAACTTTTTACTTAGGATACGCAACACAACTTCAGTCAACTAACTTATAAAGGACTCACCTTGCAACTTTTAAAGTTCTGTGGAGAGTGGAGGTGTCTGTCTCTTTATCTTGTGGTTGCCTTTCTGATGCAGACAATAATAAACTAGGAACCCAGACTGGTGACGCCATATAATGCAGCTGGTTTACCTATAAATATGGCATATATATTAAAAATATATATATTGTACATAATTAGATCTTTGCAAGTAACGTAATATGGCAGAACTCTATCAATTTCATACCCGAATTAAAGTGAGCAGAGCATATTTTCAAGAACTTGGTTAGTTTTTTTTTGTCTATTAACTGCTGCAATCCACTCGCAGCGCCTCTTAGCTGACAACTCTAGCGTTTTATTATCTTGATGTTTTATAATAGCGGGGAAGCTATGGAAAGACATCTTTTCACGGTCAGCTCTACTTGAGCAACCGTTAACAAAACAAGTACTTGGCATAGTTTTGCTGTTGAAGATGAAATAATTTATTTAAGGTAGTTTCTATGGCAAAAAAAAAACAATATTTTTACAAAAGTTTGAAAACAATCTTTTTTACAATGTATAATGAAAATAAATCAACTTTCTATAATTAAAAAATCTTTTTAATTTAAACTTATTTTTACAAACAAAATTTGAATTAGATTTTACTGTGTATAGTACAAAACTCTAAAAAAAGTTGTAATGTATATTCTTTTAAATGTGCTGATCCTGTATTTAAAAAGTGATTTCTTAAAAATTCAGATAACTTAAAACGTTCAGAATCATGTTTGTTTATAGTATCAACACAAAGTTGTGTTGTTAAGTCTTTATCGAGTCACATTATTAAGTTCCAGTTGTTTACAGTAATCAATAAAACTTTTAAGTCCATCGTCAAATTTAACAAAATCAGAAAAAAACTACACATGTCCAACACACTTTACTTTCAGTGGTACTATATTTAATTGCACATAAGGCCCACAACTTACAATATCTTTGAATGGCATAGTCACCTTCTCTGAGAAACTCATTGTACTCTAATCAATGAATTGAAATGGATCTTCTAAATATGATAACATGGATACATGTATTCTTTGTAAATGTTTTATTATTTAGAAATCAATTCAATATTTACTAGTACTACTTATAGAAGTCCTTGAAATGTTATAACTTATTTCAGAAAATTTTAGAATTTGATTCCTGTCCTCTACTTCCTACTTCTCTTAAAGCTAATGCAGATCTTTCAATCAATTTTGTTTACTACATATAATTTTATTTGCAGCAGAACTGGATGTAAAGAACGGTTCATTTTAAAAACACTACTTCTGAGCAAACTTTTAAATTTAAACTTTAACTTATGAACAGCACCCATGTGATATGTTAATTTGTCAATAAAAAGTATATGCTTTATGGAAAACATTCTTGACATGACAGCAAAAAGGTAGACATATATATTCAACAATTTTAATAAAATCATAATCATTTGGGTCCTCTCAACTTGTTTACGTTTTTTGCACGAGTGTTGATTGCCTGTAAAATGACAAATTCTTCTAAGTTGGTGGTTTCACTTGTTGCCAATTACTATTGTTATAATTAAATACTTTGAAGATACTAAATCAATTTAATAAGTAATTCAGCATATTATTTATATACATAGAATTTTTATATATTAAAACAATTTAATAATTTATTTAGCATGTTTAAAATAATTTATTTAGCATGCTTAAAATAATTTATTTAGCATGCTTAATCAACCAAAATGTGTTCACTGTGTCTGAGTTATATAAGTTAGCAAATTGACAAAATAATATAATGCGTTATAATACTTAGCAGAAGATATTAAAACAAATGTAAAACACAAACAATCAAGTTTATTTTTGAATTCTTTAAAGTGCATTATGTATAGTTTACTAATAACACACTTTTGAAAACAAGTTATTTTATTTAGAGTTTTATTTTAAGGAAAAATAAATTAATTATATCGTGAGATAGAGAATTAAATTCTCCATAAATTTACCCGAAAAAAAATCTTAAAAAATCTATCTAAAATATGGTATGCTATCTAAATAATTGCAATTAAATACATTATGCTAATAAACACTCGCATTGTTTATTTTATTTGCCATACAATATGGCGACCGCGAATTTTAACGCCACGTGATAGAACACTATCCATAAGCATAACACTTTTTTTGTATTATTTATTCAGTTTTTTTTAGATTTTATGCACGGGTCATGGTTTTCCTTTAAAAGCCTGTGTTTATCATTTCTAGTGCAGTACTTATATTCTATTATTGTTTTTTTGTTATTTAC